TTCAAGTGAAGTCATCAAAGCCTCATTATTCCTTTCACTCGGGTCCGCTCGGGCAAATTAGCTTCACCACTCAAGTGAGCGTGCGTTGATGTGTGTGTGTAAGTGTGTGTTTCACAGTCTAATTTGTGCCAGTGCCTAGTGTGAGTGCAAACCGAGCTGGCTTTTATGTTCTTCTGCAGCCCCGTATGTGTGTGTGTGTGTGTGTGTGTGTGTGTGCGTGTGTGGGTGTATTTGTGTTCACACTACTACACTACAATGCTAATTGAGTTTAAAATTCAGCCGTTCAAAGAAACACGCAGCACTTGTGGTCAGATGCTGTTCATGGAAGGACACATCATCATAAAAAAAAAGTGCACCATCAAACAGCCCCATTACAATGACAAATATTACCGGAGGAGGCAGAGAGAGACAGAGAGGAGGAGGGAGGGAGGAAAGCATCAAAACAGATGAAGGATATGTATCTTTCCTTCTTTTACCTGCTGAGCTATCCTCACTATTTACATTTGATACATTCATTTAAGTGAGAGTGAATAATAAACAAGAGAGGGGTTTATATATCTTAAAACTGTCATCAACCTGTCAGTGTGGGCACCAGCAGAACCAATGGGCGTATCATTCGTTGCGAACTGGCTGCCTCCCGCTGAAATTTGCATATTCCTGCTTCCATAACGCTCATAGGTTTGGGTGTCTAATTACAGTACAAGCATCAACATTGATTGCTTGCGTATCTCTGCATTCTGTTTGGGGAGTCAGTCCTTCTCTACAGCCATTTGGAGTATGAGTGTGTGTGTGTGTGTGTGTGTGTGTGTGTGTCCATGTTTATTTGCATGTTTCGTAAAAGCAAATGACCCGGCGACCTTTAAGTGAGGAGGGAGAAACGTCATTCCCACACACTGAGTGTCTTATTGGGTTAATGCATTGCTTTTGCAGACTGAGCATTCACCTTATCGTTGGAGCACGTTAAACCCCTGCATCACATGGAGCTTCGCCAGCACTGTCACAGCCGCTTTGGGAGTCTCTAGGTATAGCTGCTGCACATATTTGTCACATTTGTACACACCCGCGTAGCCTGTGTGGACACTTATTCCAGCAAGCATAAAGAAATGTAAAACCTAGTCCATCTTTCACATGCATCAGCCAGAGGCAGGCCTGGGTCTTCCTCTGATAATCAACGCGTTTGATCATGCATGTGTGAAAGATGAATGCTAAATGAAATGCAATAGACTGCCCTTGTGTCTGCATACATGTTCTCTGATGTGATACACAAATGCGGCAAAGCCCATTTGGAAACCATGCCTGAATCTTCTTTATCTTATACCAATTAGCAGGGGAAAAAAGCTTCAAAGAGTAGAATTTGCACTGTAGATGTCAAACATACCTACACATGCACACCCCGCAGAGAAAGAAAGTGAGGGACATCTAGACACTAATTAGCGAATGGGAGCAAAGCGGCGATACGAGTTTTGACAATGAGGAATCTCATAATTCTGAATCTCCTTCTCTCCCTCCTCTTCGATCGCATCCCTCTCATTAATTGGCTGTCACGCTTGTGAGCGTCTTGATGTAGTATGTGTGTGTGTGTGCGAGCGGGTGGTGATTGTCAACATCAGAGTGCCGTGGGCTGCGGTTGCCCCTGGCGATGAGCGGCCACATCATTAGAGGAAGGTGATTATCTTATTCCGTGAGACGATACTGACTACATTGGTAACCTAGACACACACACACACACACACACACACACACACACACACACACACACACACACACAAGCTCTCTCTTTCTCTTTCTTTGCCAGTTTCTTCCCCCCCTGTTTCCATCAATATATCAATTTTCATTCGACTTGACTGCCTCTCACATCATACCCATGCTTTAACACACACACAACAACAAGTCAGGCAAAATGGCAACAACCGATCATTTTGACAATGCGACCCAAGTGATGATGTGTTTATGTACACGTGTCTGCTTGTAGGATTGTGAAAGTTTAGAAGACAAATGAAAGAGAAAGTTCCACAGATTTCACACAGAGTCAATGCGTAAGGAACAGAAATAAAAAAAAAAGTAAAAAAAAGAGAGGTGGCTCATTTTCTCTCTTACACAGATTCATCCACGGACTGTGAAATTGTGCAACACCATCTCTACTGCTTGGCTTGTAGCCCTTAAGCAATACAGGGATTAGCGCAGAATTTGTTCTGTGAAGCTCCTGCTGTACTGTAATGTGGCTGTGATCTAAAGGAATCTATCTCGATGCATTAAGACCTGAGGGAGAGCTCTGTTTGGAGCGAGGAAAAACAAAGAGACCAAACATTTGCTACAGCATTCGGCCTATTAAATCGCGGTGTAAGATCTCTTTCAGCCTTTACAATGTCAAAGGATCGGTGGGTAACAAATGGTTGCTGTTACCTACATGTTACCTGGCAATTTGGGAAGGCAAGACAACTCTCTTTAAGCATAACATTATGTCAGAGTGGGAGGATTGTATGTTGATTAATTTGAAATATAATCATTTGCTGCTATGCAGACGCTGACTGACGGCATATTTTCTGTCCGACACTGCTGGATGCTAGATCTTGTTACTTAGTAACATGGAAGTTTTGCAGCAGCACCAATCTGTCCCTAAAACCACAAATTGTTGTTTTCTACATTGCTTTGTGTGTAAAGATTAAACAGAAGTCACGTCCCACACATTGTCACACACTTCTAGAGGGTCATAAGTGATGATTGAGAAGGATTATTTTATGGTTTGATTCTATCCACATCTGACATGGAAAATATACAGACTATGCAAATAATCCTTTCATTTTATTCCCATAAATTCCTGAATTTTTATGGGTTTTTTACCTTGAATATTCAGAGAATTGTACAACCCTCCTCACTTTACAGAAGCTAAAGTAGGATTAACCTCTAAAAGGATGTGTGTTGGATTCAAACAGTCAGATGATACGATAGAATTACATCTCTGAAGAAAGGCAATACGATCATGTAGGTGAGAAGTGTCGCTTTGTACAGGTGACTGCTCAAGTATGATGCTCCTGGCGGTGAATCGCTCCACTCATACGGAACTGAAATTCATATGTGGATGCATGTGAAACCAGCCGGTAACGATCAGCTTTCCTCTCAGATCATGAGCAGGTTATAAGAGTCAGTCTGATGTGCAGCGGAACTAGCAGGGTGCTGAAAACTGTTTTGGCACTCGGCTTCTTCCTGCGATGTTGTTTCTCATTATCTTCCTGTGTTAATTCTGAGATCTGCTCATTATGCAGAGCAAGAACATCCGTACACTGTCAGCAAATCTACAGGAATAAAGTGCCATCACAGAGGGAAGCGTTGACAGACAAAGACGCATGCAAAGAGAAACACACCACAACACACACTTCTCCACATGTGTGTCAGTGATGGAGCCATATCTGCTTTCATCAACCGCTGAAACACCTTGGATTTCCAATATGATGTGGCATTTCACAAATCAATTCTTCTTATTTTACAGTCTTTACGAATATACTGAAGGCCGACATTTTCAGAGCTGTTCATGTTGGCCTGGCAGCAGTGCATGTGTGTGTGTGTGTAGCTTATTGTGTGTGTCCATGCTCATGAAAGTCTGTTTTTGTGTGGGTTGAAATCTGTTTGGGATGTGAATTATCTCTTCCTCCGAAACGTAAACAAATACAATATCTATGTTTGGCCAAAGAAATCTGTCAGACCTGATCTCTGTCCGTGTTGCTTCTTTTGAATTCATGCATTTCTCATTCGCTGGCCAAACTTATCTGGAACAGTTCACAGCAAAAAATGACAGTGTATTCCCTTAATCACAAAATGTAAAACCATTTCACAGAAGATGCAGCCTTGCATAACATTACTCCGGTTTTGCTTTGCTGTCCATCCCCACACGCTCCCTTCTAGTCGACTCGGGAGCACTCAGTGACATCCATATTGCATGAGAATATTTCTGGGTACTAGTCACACAAACATGCAGACGAGCACGCTCACAGCCTCTCACAAAAACACATGCATACGTAGAACGCACATGAAGAATACGCGCACAGCACACAGAAATACTCATCATAAAGTATGAGTTCAGGCCTTGGAGCCTGTAGCCCACATTGCAACTCTTCTTCTTGTAGTATTATTAATTCATCAAGTGGGAGCTGCGCACCGCAAGCATCTCAAACCATAATTTACCATGCACTGCGCTAACAGCTGGAGCGTATCTCGAATAGAGTATAGTTTCATTTCCCCCGCTGTCCTTCACATGACAACAAAGCCAGCAGCTGAGTTATTTTTTGATCCAGTGACGAGAGCAGGAGAGGAATGCTGCAGATAGACCGAGCCGGGGAGAGAGATTCCCTAAATTCGTTGGCTTCTGATGTTCATCAGCTCGCAGAAAAGATGGAGGTTAAACGAAGGAAGAGAGACTTTTTGCCAGATGGGGGAGAGGAAAGACCCGAGTGATTAACAGAGGATTACAAATACAGCATGTAGCACATTACACAATTTCTCAGAGTACATATTTAAATATGAAACTTCTCCACCGTTCTGTCTTTCACACTTTGGGTTAAGCTTCTCTTCTCTCTCCGCTTCTTTTTGCAGAATTTCTCTTCTCTCGTGCTCTGAGGTTGTGGGCAGAGAGCCAGCAGAGAGAGTGTGTTTGTGGGACCCGGTAGAGAGTGTGTAAACTCGACCCCTAACCCACCCTCCATGAGATCCAGACCATCAAATATGCATACGACAGCTGGAGCAGCTATATGGTGTTTCGTACAGTGAACTCTGAACTCTGAGCTTTCATACATTTGAATGCATTTAGAAGATAAAGTACAGACATTGTATGCACCATCCCTCCAATTAATGCCCTCCAAATCAACAATCACAAAAGCTAATGCGTCACCAGATTGTGACCCCGCTTCTGCTAATGCCCATTTTATTTTAGCTTTCCTTTTCTCGCTTAACATCAGCAATTTAGTTTCTTTCACCGGCACGAGTTTCAAGCTGAGACAAGGTTGCACCTGATGAGATGGGTTCCCACAGAAGAGCGGGAGCGCGATGAAACGAGGATCTGCCTCACATTTAGCCTACATGCAGTGAAGTTCCAGTCTGTTCACCTGGAAAAGTATGAGACAATGGGAGAGAGTCAAACGACAGAGCGAATCCTAAAATGTCATCCAAAGTCCTCACTGGCTGTGCGGCTTCATGCTGTTTCAAAAGGGATTGTTGTCAGTCAGCCAGGATAGATTTGCTGGCAGCTATGGGTGCTGTTAAACACTATGAACTGTAATCCAATGAGCCAGAGCTCATCTTGAGGAGGCCTGGCTGCCACTTGAAGGTCTGTCTATATAAGCCTGGACACAATCCCATCATAATGGGCTCAATCAAGTCCTCTCGATATGAGAAATCCACCCCCAAAATAATGGACCTTGAGCTGCTGGGCCTATTGCATTGTTCTTTTTTTTTTTCATCACCTCTATCTCTCCAAATAGTTTTCCGAGTTTATAGCTGTGCCATCAAAAGACCCAAAGCAGTTTGCAGCTTCAATATAACAGCATACAATGTGGTGGCCACAAGAGATTGTGTATCTTGAGTCGAGAGACTCTCAATTCCTATTTTGTCTTGGCTGGATAAGTTCTCACATCACTCCATAAAACTCACGTTGAAATCGACAAGGCAATTAGAAAAAAAAAGTAAAATAAAGCATTTGGAAGGTGTTAGATGTGTTTTGTGTAAGGGTATGTTTTGCAAGCGAGTACATTTTATTGTTTTAAAGTGTCGTGCATTAGTGCTTTTCATCTATCTGTCCGCCCTTGAATTAAGCTTGGTAATGTATACGCGGCTTCCTGTAATACACAGAATGGTTTTCAAGTAATGAATGTCCACCTTTTACTGTACACAGAATTGTGCAGATTGGGATCATTTTTAAGTTCCTTTACCTGAAACCATATGCAATAACAGCGGCACAGAGCAGCAGCTGGCTCTAAGGCTGGAAATGTTGTTCTGTCAATTGGTCCATCACTTTAGTCCAGAGAGAAATATCTCAACAACTCTTACTTTGGATTGCCTTGAAAATATTTACAAGCATTTGTTTCTGCCTGAGGATGAATGCCACTGACCTTGGTAAACCCCTGACTTTTTAGTTGCATGCCTCAACACGAAATGTTGTTCCCCTCATAGAGATTTATTATCTCTTCGGTGATAAGATAATATATAATTGTATTAATGGCGAAGGAAATTCTTGGAAAAGGGATTAATCAAGGACTACAACAGAGAAATAAGAGAAAAAACAATAGAGTAAAAATATAAACATACATAAATAAAAGTTAACAACAAGAAGTAACTAACACAAGTGCATGATATTGACAGTAATATTGGCAATGATATTGAAAAAGTAATAGAAAGTTATATTGCAAATGGTATATCCAAAGTAATATTGCATGATATTGAAATATATTATTGCACAATGTTGAAAAAGTAATATTGCACATGATATGGATATTATTGTTCTATTATTCCTTTACTTTTCATTTGGTGCCATCATCAGGTCACTGTGTGCTTTGATTTATGATCAAATACCTGCAAAACTAATGACATTCACATCAACTTCACTTGTACTTTGGTGCCAGCAAATGTTGGCATGCTGACACGCTAACCCAAAAACTGCTAACCACGGACTGACACTCTTACTCTTGTTTATTGCAATAAAAAAATGTATTGGTAAATGAGTCTCTGCAACAGTGCATATTTCTCCAGGAAATAGGACTGATATCCAAAACAGACGATGAAAACGGATAACCCTCTACAGCCGAGCGGTCAGGATGAAGTCTAAACTGAACTAGTAGTAAGTGGGCATATCAGTCACGCGCAGAGACAGAGCCGGAGAGCAGGAAAGGTATCATGGAGAGCTATTTAAATAATTATATCCTTGCAAGATGAACAACTGACATTTTCAGGCCATGTGTGGCCGCCCAGAGATGTGGCCTCATAACACGCAAGATCAGATCTCAAAAGTCCCATTGAAATGATGAGTGGAACTAACATACTCCTGCGTTTGGATGTAAGAGGCTGATACAGCCACGCATGGATAGTCACAGTGACACGTGCACACACACACTTAAGTCCAGTGACTTACTCATAGTCTCTAATTAGCACTGATACTTTGTTGTAAAGGGCAAAGCTGTCTGCTGGCTTTTGGGCATGACACCCCCATGATAACCTTCCAGTCATCAGGAGGAGGAAAGGTGACACACAAATACACTAAAACAGCAGAGAGAGCACACAAAATGGCACTGCGATGCGCTGCATGTGGCTTTTTTTTTTTAAGGCTGTGTCTCATGTTGTTGATCGTTTGGTAACGGGGCGGCTGTTCACACTGTTTGTCATAGTGTGATTGTGTGTGCGAGCCTTTCTTTGTGAGGGGGTACAAACGTGTCGGACGATACAGAGCAAACTGTAAACAGTACATCCCATCACGCTTTTCTCTCTTTATCAGTCCCTATGTTTCCTCTCACCTGAGCCAAACTCTCAGCAAAGGGCCAAAAAAAGGAGATACGAAGAAATCAATGACAATTGTGTTCAGAGTGGCTATGTGTGTAAAGACAGAATGGCAGGCATGTAATAGAGACGGAGAGAGGCAGTTAGGGGGCACGTGTGCGTGAGGAGGCACAGACCAAGTCGGAGAAAATTGACTGCGTGGCAGTGCGACGTTGAGGGATTTTCAATGAGAGAAGAAACAGCGTAAATTGATTTTGGATCAACTTTGCAGCAGAGATTCGGGTGCCACTTTGGACTATGCAAAATGTAAATGATCACCACCTAGTAATGTGAGTAGCATGGGTCGAGAGTTGTCTTATACTCTCCATCACACACACACACACACACACACACAAGGTCACAAACAAATCCATCAAGGTGCCAGTGGAGCGTGTACAGTAGGTGAGCTGAACGCTGTGATGGGCTTGAAATTCGATGAACCGCAAGCCCTCCACTCTCTCTGTCTCGTGTCGGAACAGATGGCAACACTGCCAAGCCTCACACTCATCCATCATTCACCATTCATTTAGCCAGGCAGCACACATGTATGTGTGTGTATGTGTGTGTGTGTGTGTTTGTCCACAGTGTACTTTTAGTTCAAGCGACACTGAGGAGATTGGCTGTCAAGCGGGCCTGCACGCTGATGCTCAGCTGCAGGATTTCAGGTCAGCTATGTTCTCTGTTTGAGCTGCCCCCACAAACACTGAACTACATTTAAAAAATACGCATGTCTAAAAGTCGCAGTACATCTGCATGACAGGAAATAAAAAGGAGAATATCCAATACGTTGAGCAAAATGTGCAAGAAAACGTGTTGGTACAACATATCATGAGATGATGGATGCCATGTGTCAACTGTGATTGCTCTGAACACTGAGAATACTGAATGTGGCGCAGTGTCGATGATGCCTGTCAAAACCCCTCCAGTTCTCTCTCTGCTCTCTCTACCCTTCTCAAGCACTGGAGGAGAGGAAGTGCAGATGTGTAGTTAGTGTTTCAACTCATCTCTCTCTCCCTCCTTGTAGAGATTTCTGTGAGTATGGAGCGCCTTGGGCAAAAGCGCTGAAACCATCTGCTCTGGTAACTCTGCCTCTCCATTCGGCTTTTTTGCTCAGAGTTTCTCCGGCTTTCTCTTTGGGCTTCACTTCCATTTTTCGTCTCCTTCCCCTTCATAACCCTGGGCGATTTCCCCCCTGCTCCACTGATGATTAATTGCACTTTGTTTAGTTTGTCGAGGATTCAAGTCATTCATTTTTATGCTTATCGAGGCAAAACATTGCCTGGGAGGAAAATGTCATTTTAATATTTAATTTCATTATTTGGCTTTGGAGCACAACAGCAGGTTGTGATCAATGAGCTTTTCACAGTATTGCATATCAGGTATGGAAGATGCATCTTTTTATTTCACCTTGTTCATCCATCTCAAACCCTGCCAAGACTTGGCAGTAACGCCTGACCTCTGAGTAGATAGCAAACTCTTTTTTAGATCTTGTTTAAAAGTCGGCGTGAATGATAACATGTGTTACAAGTTTGTTATGTCACATACCATCTGTCAACAGAAAGAGAACAGCTGGTTAAATGTGAATGCTAACAGGCCTATATTGTACGCAACAGACAGCTGCGACTTGGAGTGCACAAATCACTGATGGCTTGAAAAATGAATCTGATGTCAGACGGACGGAAAAGCCTCGGATGAGAAGAGGGAACATGCTGGCAGTCAGGACAATCCCTCAGACTTTAAAGATGGCTTTAAAAGTCTGGAAACATTCTCTGTTGTGCTATCTGTCTTGTTTCTAGTCTTTTTTTTTTTTTGCTTCTGTATTTTCATCCACTTTGTATCTTTTGATTCAAATAGATACAAAACCAGAGGGGTGCACAGTTAGATTCATTGCAAGAGACAAACTGCTCTCCAGTAAACGGGGCCCCACCATTGCTGCTTTCTAAATGTCAAACAACACTGTGTCCAACCCATGCAACCAGTCTATTCATTAGCTAATTAAGATGAATGGCCAAATCAATTCGATGAAGACTGCTGCACCACTAAGTCCAGCTCTCGGACCACAGATCAAGGCCAGGTGAGGCGGTGAGGCTGACAGAGGGTTGGCAGAACCCAGAGTGACTGAGCTCCTCCTGGGTGAACATAGTTGGGTCACCTCCCATTTAGTCCTGGAGCTCTGGAGTAATTTGTTGTTCATTTATCAAAGTTCTATGGTTTGAATTGTTGGTGTGGTTGTCACAAACACACACACACACACACACATTCACACAGAGAAGTGGTAATTATGTATTCATTAAAACAAATACTGCATACTGGACTTTGACCAGTATCACAGGCTTCTGTTAACAAACAGGCAGTGATTTGACAATGCATCCGCCGATGAATTATTCTATTTAAATTAAGCTTTTGTTATGCTGTTGGAAGCATCCGCATGACCCGGGAGCATGGGTTCTGTGTGTTTTGAACTGAATGCATTCAACAATGCAAGCCATTCAATTTAGTCCATAACAGTCCTACATTTTTTAAACAAGGACACAGAACAAAAGGGTGGGTGTGGGACGGAAAATTAGAAAAACCAGTGGACAATGAGCCGACCGCAGAACTTTTTAGTGGCTTGATCATCGAGATGCAAATCACACAATGCATCCGTTCTATATTTATGCTACTGCTGGCAAAGCAAAGTCCAAAGCAATTATGGGTCGCTTCAGCTATCACAGGAATGAGGAAGTCACTCACTATTGTCCAATATGTCACTCGCCAAAATGAATCATAGAAAACGCCATTCTGCAGAACACCCCTGTTCTACAGGGGTGTAAAGGAACCACATCTGGCCGTGATTTGTGAGAAGCAAAAGGTGAATCCGATTTTTTTTTTTTTTTATTGCCTGCTTGCATTTTTTACTTTAAAAGTTCATGTTTGAGTTCCAGTTAGGTGTCAAACTTCACAACTTTGAGGGAAGTACATGTGATGGACTCGACTGTGACATCAGTCTGTCTGACACTCTCTCCGTCCACTCACATTAAAGGGGGGGAAGAGACTTGGTGGGTCTCAGTGGTCTCCTCCTGTCTCTCACTGACTCTCTCCATCAGTCACACCTTTTGTTTTTCCTCTAACAGTCTTTTCCGTTACCCACAGATATACCCACAGATAAAGTGTACAGTCAGACGAGAGATAAACTCCGCAACAGATGGATGATTATGACTGAGGGTCTTATTCTTTCTCAGGTTTAGCGAGGGATCTTTTGTTGATCTAGTGTGATCCGCTGGTGGGATAAGCGGCTATCGTAACTGAGAACAGGCTTAACTAGTTGATCACAGCTCTATTTCTCTGTCTTCTAGCTCTTTATAATTCATTTGACTATAAGAAAACTGGGAATATCTATATATGTGGATGCATTAATGTGAACCATTATGGCTCATCAGCCAGCAATAAAAAAGGCGCATGTAATTATATAGGGTGGTTATGACAGTGAAATCACTAGTTATGCACATATCATATGATCTAATGCTGAAATGAGTTCCTTGGACCGCCGTAATTTGAAGCAAAATATACACAAGCTCACATGCAGCATTAGAAATGCAGAATGGGCTTTTCTAAGGTTTTTTTTTTCTTCTTGTAAATGGCAACAGTGTCAAAGACAGCAGGCTGATGCATTTGATTAGACAAGTGTTGTTTTCTCTGTTGCTCCACTGCACATCCCTGTCCGGATAGAGTGCAATCTGTTTTCCCAACTGAGCGAACGGGCCACACATGCACATATGCATACTAATAAAGATTCCATATGCACACAAATAGATTAAATACAGGCATAAATACACATGTGTACAGTTGGGTCAATTTCCGGTTTCATGCAAACTGACTGAGCAGGCATTTGTCATTATGACATGTTTAATTAAAAAGTAGCCTTACATCAGCAAGCTGTGCTGACAGCTTCATGCCGCTAAATCCAACTTTCATTGCATTAGTCATGTAACCGTGTGGCAGTCCATCATTCTTTGCTGTCATTTCTTTTTTTCTCTATTTGTTTAGCCAAATCTCACAATCCCCCTGAGCAGCATTGGAGGGTTCGCCACACCTGTTATGCATCAACACCACAGTAGTTCTAGCCATGGATCAGAATTTAAAAAATTCATTATTTGAAAGAAATTGTGAAAGTGTAAAAAGGGCTTAGAGCCAAAACCCATATGGCAATATGCATGCTCTATAATGTCTCATTGTGTAGCAGGTTTTGGGTTGATATACTTTTGTCATTGTCCTGTCATTTTATACAGCGACTTCAACTTTCAAAAGAATTGTCTCACTATGTGAAATGCCTACTATGAGGTCTAACATCATCGCAAATTAAAGTTGGGCTCATTTGATCCACAAGAGTCTCAGCTTTCTAGACATGTGCAATTGTAAGACTGTTCTAGTATGAAGAAATATTCAAAAAAACATTTTAGAATATAGGTTTGTTTTTTGCCCAAAGCTGCATGGGATTATCAGTGTGTGTAAAGGGGGAGACTCGTGGGTACACAACCCGTCTCATATACGTATCTTGAGGTGAGAGGTCAAGGGACCCCTTCAAAGTCTCTTCACACTAGCTGCAAAACTGAGGCAGCTACAACCTCTGATCCCACTGGTCTTAGCTCTAGGAGGAATACAATCTAGGGAATCGGTACCGCCACAACCGGCTCTTCATATGTTAGCCTAACTGGATTTTACAAGAAAAGAATAAACACAAATGGAGCATAAAGTAAAAAAAATATGTTGCAACTGTCCAAAGCTCACGTTGCTGCCAGTATGAAAAGTTTTGATGTGGAATAGTCTCAGGCGAGTATTTCGCATTTTTGTATTCTTTATTCGTCATACCCCCGGTGTGGTACGGCCTTTAGTCAAAGTAAAATGGCGCCAATATGCCAACATTTTGGATTTGAAGGAGACGGGTGGTAACCCAAAAAACATAGACGACTGAACGTGTATATAATATCAAACCGGTTTTAAATTATTTACATTCCAAATCCCTACACATGTGCATGCATAGGCACATCATGCACACATTAAAGCAGAGAGCAATGGTATTACTCCCGCACAGTCCAAACTGTAGCAAGGGAGCTGTATCATGCCGAGATTGGTAATAAAACCAAAAAAGGAGTGTGTGAGTGTGTGTGTGTGTGTGTGTAAGAGTTTATAGTATTTGCTGCTCTAAGCGGTGTGGGAGGTCTGATTTGTAGCTGTAATAACGACAGGCAAGGTCTTGGAATGAGGTCCTCCCTTGAGGGAGTCCTCCTACCTCTTTGTGCCTGCTCAGAAAAGCTCACACAAACACCCAAAGGTTAGAATGGACTCTTCCACTGATGGCATCCAATCTCCAACACCTAACCTTGCTACTCTTCATAATGTGCTGGACTTTACCTTTAAAAAACTGGTCACATTGGCATTAAAGATTGTGAAATTGTGGGGCAAAATTAATTACAATGAAATAAAGCCAATATGGTCGCGAACAGCAGCGCACATTTTTCCATAGAATATTAGCTAGCAAGCTGTGTGTCCCCACCCACTTTCATAAACCCTCCTGGCAGTAGTCACTACATAACTAAGCTTCCACAACAATATATTTTGCGAAGGCATGCAGATGCATTTCTCTTTGCCACTTTCTGGTGTGAGCAAGCCTCTAGGGCTAGGCAGACTAAAAAAAGTGGCCATTTTGTTACAAACCCAGAATGCACAGAATGTTCTCACACCAACAGCTTCATGTCTAACATAATGACAGCTCCATACAGTTGCACACCTTTCTCACTTGTGCTTGCAGCATTGCATGGAACAGTGGAGACACAAGGGAAACTGGGCATCAGACAGGAACACATCTTTGGCGGTAACACCTTGTAAATCTGAGAGCGCTTGGAGGGCGAGGTGCTCTCTCTGCAGTTGTCCACACTTCCTTCACACCCTGTTCCTCTACTGACACATTGGCCAATTAAACTTCTAAACTGACACTCAGACTACCTGCTTTTTGGAGTATCTGGGGCATTTTCCAGTGTGTATGGTCAGGATATACTGTCCTAGCAATTCTGTCAGTCAATGGATGCATTCCTGTTTGACTTGGGTATGAGACAGCGAAAAAGAATGCCCACTTCCCTACCCCTCTCCCTTCTGTCCCTGTCCAGTATGGCATAACAGAGACCTAAAAGGGGGCTTTTCATATCCTCTGTCTTTGTCTCCAATCCTCTATGGAGCCACTTTAAAAACATATTAAGCTGTCCTCATACCAAGGCTTATCCGTGAAGCTCAGCCAAACTACAGACGGAAAATAAGACCGTTCTTGTGATGCCAAATGGCTCATTCACAATTAGAAAAGTCACCTTCAACTATGTAGGAAGGACAAGTCCAAGTCACTTTAGTGAGGTTGATAACTGAATTCACATGAGAGAAGAAGATTTGTGGGATGTTTGGGTGACAAATTCTTGTATTTCATAATTTTTTCAGACAGTCCTTGTGCAAGGGCCACACACTCAGTCACGATTCCAATCACTCATTTTGCACTACAAAGTGACGGCGTACAAAGAATTTCAAACCTAATCATATGATTTCCAGGTGGCTGGCTAAGGCTGAGTGACAAGCCTATTCATTTTCTTTTCAGATGAAAAAAAACTGGAGGAGATGAAAAGGCCAAAAGATCTTTCAAAAGCGTGGACACCATTAAAGTTTTCACTACACATGTGACAAATCCTGTTCGGTACAGAGCCATAAAGATTTCAAAAAAGACGGTAAATGATTGTCACACACTTGGCGGACCGTTTCTGCAGGTTATCACAAAGACGGCGAACACCTGCAGCAGGTATATGAGCATGTGTGTGTGTGTGTGTGTGTGTGTGTGTGTGTCTGCGCTTGTATGCTCATTGAATATCCGTGTATGTGTGTGAAAGTGACTGGTTGAGCGCATACATCCACTCAGGATTATAGAAACACTGGATTATTTCCTGCACGCCTTGAAGAAGCTCAGTTTTCTAAATCCTAAAATGAACAGTCAAGGAGAGGACAGCAGCTCGAAAAGACTTGGAGATTAAATGGTGTCTTCTGAGTCATTCTGAGTGTTTCCTGCTAATACAGTTACAACAAAAGTAACCTACGGTTTTCCGAAAAAAAGATGCTTTGTGGAATAAGTCAGCCGTTACAAATTCACAAATTATGTGTATATTAGTCAACATTTTGTTTTGGGTGACAACACAGTGTGCTCCTGTTTGTGTTCGTGCGTGCACATTGAAGCATGACAGAAAGATGTGTGTGTGTATATAAGTGTGTGCACGGCACCGACTGTGAAGGCCCTGACACCCAGCAGTAAACAGTGGAAGGAAAAGCAGGATGACTGAGCCCAGCAGCCTGTTAGACTGTTGATAAAGGAGAGACCTTCCTTTAGAACACAAGAGCAACAAAACATCAAGCCTCTTCTCTCCCCCTCTCTCTCTCTCTCTCAAGATCTCCCCCTCTCGCTTTCTCCCTTTCTGCTCGGCATCTGTCGCTTGCAGGGAATGCCAATGGCAAAGACAAAAGAGCAAGAAGATGAGGGGAAGAAAATATGAGGAGACATGGAAAAGGGAGGGAGTAAGAGGAAGTGTATTTGAAGGTGAGTGACAGGTGGTGTTCAGAGTCCCTCCAAGAAACTACAAAGAGAACGAGGGATAAATGGACGGATGCATGAAAACAATGAAACAACAAACCACGAAAAAAAAAAGATACCTAGATGAAGACAAGCATAAGAAAGAGAGCAGGAAATGTTGGAAGACATGAGGCGTGATGTGTATGTGTGCGTTTGTGTGCATGAGTGTGAGACTCTGGCAAGCGTTGCTTTTGGCCTTCATTGGGGAGCTGATAAATCCACAGCCGTTTGGCTCCTGCCAGACGCCACCCCACACAAAACACTCGTACACACGCACACGCACACACACACACACACACACACACACACTGTAAGCACACTACATCTCCATCTGTTTGACTTGTGCCAGTAACCCCCTTTCAATTACCCAGCATGCCTTGCTCCCACAGAGAAACGAGCCTATTCAATGAGTGCTGTGAAAGAGTGACAGATGGACAAACATAAAATACAGATAAAGACTTTAGGAAGAGACGACAGGTGCTAAAGGTATCCTCTTAGTCTTATACTCTGTCTAACTGCGATGTAACTTCTGATGAACTCCAACGTGTTTGGTGGAGGATACCTCATTAGGATCATTATTAAAGCAAGAACATAGCTGTTTAGTATGTGCAAGTCAGTAATGAGAATATTTGAAAATAGGCAAAGCAGTGATTTGTTGTTATTCAGTCAATGTTGTCATACTAAAATATAAATGTTGGTGTGGGACATGACTTATTTGTCTGTGTCAAACAGGAGAATGTCGCCATCATGTAATTGTCTGGGTCAGGAGTCAAACTGATTAATTTCCTAATTTTGGATTATTGGCATGATAGCCTACTGCCCTACAAAGTTAAGCAATAGCACAGAGACGGTATCGATTCTTCCGTCATCATTACTACGGGGCACGGTATTGAATTCCGATACCAATCAAAATTGAAGCGTTTTTTAATCCGACGTCTTTCCCTAAATTTGATAGCGTTCACGCTGCATCGTAGTCAGAATTAGCAGAGCAAAGTTAACCCTCGCTAAACAGATGGTGCAACAATCTTGGCAATGACTACTCACAATGCTGGTGAATCACCGTATTGTAGCTAACTGCTAATACGCAGCTTAGAAAATGATATTACTGGTCACAGCTCTGTTAGCTTTGTTTCATTATCGTCCCGTTACCTATGTTGCTAACAAGGTCACACAGTTTAGTTTTAAGCAAAAATGAAAAATGGTTTTCTTTGATTTGGGATTCTCTGGTGTTCTGTTCCCTCAACAGTCAGCAGAGTCAGGACTGTTTGCTGTTAGTTAAAAGCATGAATTGGCATATTAAACGAACTTTGAACTTCAACCTAATGTACATATCCACTGACTGTTATGATTCCATTGAAATTAATTGACATTACTGTTTGAAATGTCGGTGTGACTGTGCTTTAAGATTGTGCAACATTTCAATTTAAATCACAAACTATCAAATCAAAGAGTACTTTACTTGATGATACAGACAAAGTTCAGTCTGTACCATTTTTTTTTTTGAGGTTTCCAACCTTGACAAATCCCTTTTTGTCAAGGTTATTTTTCCTGAGAGGTCACAGGTCAAAGACAGAGATTTACTTCAGCAAAAAGATCCTTGAACAGGCCTCAACTCACATATTTTATGGTCGAAAGAGTCTCTCTAAACATTGTACCACCACCATTCCATCAAAGCTTGTTATGAGTGTGTATTTCACACAGTAGCAACTTTTGTCCATTTGTTAGTCCATCACAACATGTTCTCATTATGATTTATCTCGAATGACACCATTTTCAATCTTTGTTTCATAGCTGCAAATGTGTTGAACCAATTTGTCTCCTGAGGCTAGCCTAAAGGCATTGTCTCTCTCTCTCTCTGTCAACTGGTATTACAATGCACCCATTATACATATGCAATTCGAAGGGGTAATGAAATGTTGTCCCATCTGTAAGATCATCTCCCGGTAACAGCCGAAGGCTGTCCTGTCAATCAAATGGGAATGCTATCGCTCATTGAGCTCTGGCCTAATTCCAGGCTGCAGCCTCGGGGGTTTGAAAAGTGAAGCATTCTTTCTTGCAAGGGGCGATTCCTCTGTTTGCAAAAATAAGTCCAATTGTGCAGAAGTCTATGACAAAAATTACCTTTTCACTTGATTTACTACCTGAATAAATATTGTGCATGGTCTCAATCGCTAGTTTCAAGTCTAGTTGAATACAGCACGATGTTCATTTCGTAAATTATGATCCCATTTGCAGTAAAATAGACAATAAAGCAGGGTAAGCCGTGTGGCTACCTTGTGATTGACAGGGCGTTACCACAGCGGTGTCCGTGATAGGTGTAAAAATGTCATACTCAGCGTTCGGTTGAACTTAGCTTCACCCTCTCGTGTTACATTTAGTTGCAAAAAGCCAAGATGGCAACAGCCAAGATGCCAAATCCTAGGTCTCAAAAAGGTAGTCCTTAAAACAATGTGTCACAGTGCCTTCGTCCACTTCTTACACACAGTCTATGCCTCATCTACTTACTAAGGACTGGACAGCCTGAGGAAAAACCTTCACAGCGTCTGCAGTTCCTTCACTATCACATATCAACTCACCTAACAAGCGGGGAGGTGAGAGTTAAGCGCTGTGAGCTAGGTTTCTGTAATAGTTATCTCAGCCCTCAGGTGAGTCGTGGTCACTACATTGCATTAAGCCGACTGCTGAGAGCAGCATAAATTCAAAGACTCAATGCCAGGGTGGCCTGCAACTAAGCCTCCATAAATCCTTTTTGGTCATTAAGATATTCCTTGGAGTAACCAGGCTAAAGCAGCACAGCTACTCAGTTGTTCCTGTGTGGAGTTTGGAAGCGTTGATTAACGTGCTGTGGTTCCTATTCTGCTGACTCATCCAGGGACCAGCTCTTCTCCCCACCTCCTTCAAATAGGAGGGCAGATAAAGGGCTCCACTTGGTCAAACAGTGCCGAAGAGTGTGAGATGGGCTAATGGGAAGCTGCATGGCCCAAGGCTCCAGAGTGGTGTGTGTGTGTGTGTGTGTGTGTGTGTGTGTGTGTGTGTGTGTGTGTGTGTGTGTGTGTGTGTATGTAAAAGTCTTTATATTTTGGCTAGTTTTCAGCAAAGCCAGTAAAAATGTTAAAGGAAAACAGCAAGGAACTGTTGGTTTGAAATTAAGTATCACACACACATGTTTAAAAAAAACAGCAACAAAGCTGCATTGCATGTTGGCTGACCATGAAGCTAAACGCAAACACCCACGCCCAGAAACAAATTGCCGTATGTAATGCACAACAGAAGAAACACAACTTGTTTTGCTCACTTCCAAAATCTAACATCATTCCAGTCTCCCGCCCTCCCTCTCCTGTCTCTGCTCAGCTGCTGTAAGTAGGGCACATACATTTTGCACTCTGCCTCTGTCTTTCACTCAGTCTGTGGCTGAGACCACAGCACCTGTCTAGGCCACATGTGTCATACCGCTCTCCCTCTATGTATCCCTTCACACAGCATCCCCCAGCCCTTCAAAAGAAATGCCTCCCCTCTGCTCCTCTGTGGTCCCTTCAGTATGCTTCTCCATCCATCTTCCTCTCTTTCTATGTGATTCCTGTTCCCTCAGCTGTGAATCTCTCACAGAAACACACGCCAACGTATGCAATATGTAATAATCACAGAGAGAGACATACACACACACACACACACACGTGCAAAAGCACACATGCCATGCAGGGGTGGCTTGATAATGACATGGAGATTAAATGGCAAAGAGAAAGTATGGATTTCCTGATGCTGCACTTTACACACACATACACACACACACATGAACAAATAGGGTTGTCTTATCCATCTCACTATTGCAAATACTTACAGGATCTATAGTACAACCCTGGCATCAAAAATACATCTCAAAAATGTATAGCTGCAATAATGATTTTTTTGAATCTATCTTTTTTAGCTATAGCGATTTTTACTCTAAAATACATGGTTGAGTTTCATCCAACTGACTTTGTTAACTTCAATAGCGCTGCATGGACGCATGTCCCTGTATGCAAACACCACATGGCGTTCAGTAACTGCATTGTTCAACTCAAGCCAGTCAACGTAAGGATCTCTGTCAGTATGACTGCAGACACTAGAAAATGTCTGTCATTTATCATTCGGACTTGTGTGCAATAACCCAATAATTGAGTCAAACATCCTCTCCAGCCAATACACAGTTTTCATGTGAAAACGTCCCAGTAATGGTGCAATTTTCCATTATGTATCAGTTTGTCTTTACCCTCCTTTTATTCCCGGCATTGCAACATGCTGCTCTGATTATGATGACTGCGAAGTGAATGTATGGTATTATCAGTCAATCACCTACATTGCTAAATCCTGGCATCTCACTGTGTTCTCAATGTAGTTGTAAATTACCTTTGCTGTGTGATGTAGTGCCACTGCTTTTTTTTTTTTTTGTCCCCTAAACTCAATGAGCCTAAAACATAATCATTTCTTGTGATGTTTGCTGAGCTGCTTTTTTCAGGCAAGGGGATGATCACATCATAAAATCCTGCACACCAACACACACACACACACACACACACACACACACACACACAGGACATAACGTGAAAATAAATGGAATTAATAAAAGAATCCCATCATTAGGAAGACAAAGGTCAAATCTCTAATTTCATTACTTCTAAGACTTGTCTTTAATGGACTTTACGATGCAGCTTCGGAGAAATGGCAGGTCAATTGGTGTCGTGGATAAAGTTCACAGTCGTGCAGTTGATACAACACTTTCCTGATAGAAATATGGGCCAGGTGTGATGGGCCCGAGCCTTCGCTTGAGGCTTCCGCTGTGAAAATGCTCAATAATTCACACAAAAGGGCAGTTTTGAAGGCTTTAACCACCTGAGCTAACCTCTCCAATATTGAGGCGCAAGTCACAGCCCACATAGATTAATATATTTTCATTTCAGCCTTCTTCAAAGCTGATGTGTCTCTAATACCAGATGAGATCTCCTTCACCTTACTGTAATATGTTGGCCCGAGTGGAGCAATGAGAGAAAGATTGGGAGGGAGGTCACTGCAGGTCATGTCCCTGATGCGTAAGTGAAATCAGAAAAAGCATGAAACTAATTGGTTTCCTTACACTGTATAGATGAGAGAACTTGGATGAGATAATTGTACTTATTTTTTGTTAGATCTACTATAACTTTTCATTAAAGCTCCAACATAGGACAACTTGGACGTTTCCAATATGACCTAAGAGAGAGTAACGCACAGTCAGAGATCAGCTACATTATGAGCGATGATGAGATATGTCAAAAGTCCTCGAACATCAAGATAAAGGGGAAAAAAAAAAATGACCAAAACATGTGCATATGTGTGCTTGTCAGGGGGCGTCACCTTGCCAGTAGCAATCTGCAAAAAAAGACAGCTTTAAAATAGCTGTAGCTGGTTAAATAAAGAGGTCTGGAGTTGGTTACGTGGTGTCTTTGGAGAGATAATCTTTCTGTCAACCAAGCTGTGGGCTGAGGACAGGACAAAATACACAGAGACAGACGGAGAAGAGGAGGAAGGGATAACACTGGCGGTGGAGGCGCAAACAGAGAGGAGCGGTATAGAAATATATGACGAGAGGGGAAGACAAACGGGGTTACAAGACTAAAAGGAGATGATCGAGTGATTAGACAGATGGAGGGTGTAAACACAGGACGCGGGGAAAGAGGAAGGAGAAAGCACAGAGTGACAGTGGTGAAAGATGAAACTGGGAGCAGAGTGTGTGTGGGGAGGAATCGGGAAGCCAAGACTAGCTGGAGCCTTTGAGATACTGTATGAAGCAATAAAACAGAGCAGGGCTGACAAGAGAGCTGGATGGAGGGAGGAGAGCAAAGAAACGAATGAAATAAAGGCGAAGAAAGATGAAGACAGTGCAGAATCATAAAGACATCGGGGGGGGGTGTGTGTGCAAAACAAAGTACAAAGAGAAGGTAGAGCAGAAGGAGATGGGGGGGGGGGGGGGGGAATAGAAAATAAGGATAAACAGGGATGGAATGAGAGAGAATGGGGAAACGAGAGCAGATAGACTTGAAAGGGCAGCAGAGCGGCAGAAATCAATTCCCTCTGGGGGTCACAGGATCGGGGCAGTGGAGTGCAAATGCTCCATTATAAACACTCAGTAGTCTATGGCCGCAACACAAGCCATCAATTTGCCCTGGATGTGCAATGAAAAATATCCTCATTGCTTCCCTTCCGAGTGTTCCCCACACGAATGGAGTTGCTGTTGACTCACGGGCAGCAGAGTCTACTACTCATAAGGTCGACATTCAGAGCATTTTACTCCGCCACGCATGATGTGCTCTAGCGAGCTGCTGCGTCAAAAAGAAAATTGTCTCAACAACGTGGTTGTGTTTTCATGAAATTTAAGGTCACGAAGGGGAAGATTCTTAAGTTGGTATGAAATGTCATCTGACCACTAACGGAGAAACTGGCCAGACTCAAACACTGGGCAACAAGTTAGCCGTCATGGAAGCTATGAATCATACATAGGGGGGGGTAATACAAACTTACAGATGGTGAGTTATAAAAGAGAGACAGAAGTAGTTGAGTGGACAAAGAGAGAGATGTTCAAATCCTGCATTACGTTCTCAACTCCGCACAGATGGCCAATCGCTGTGAGGAATTGTTGGAGGCAGGACCCGAAATCAGTTAGAAAAGAGGGGGTTTCAATAATCCAATGAGGTATTTGTTTGAAGCATACTGACACTGTTAGTCGAATGCAGGTTTAAAGATACATGTGCATGGTCAATCTTGCACTCTATCCATTAACTTAACATTTTACTTGATTAAAGGACAGCTTTTGGCAGAAGTAAATCGTCCATGTTTGATCCATGAGTTTCCCTTTTCCTGATTCCAACTTGGCAGCGGAGGTGACTGGCATTTCCAAGTCACAAACTGGTTATGTTGATGTTCGTCAACAGAATGATCTAAAGATCTGCAGCAGGAAGATGAACTATTCAATGTGACCCTCACACAACGGACAGCCCAAGGCGCTCATCACGTAAAACTGGCATATTATTAAGTTTGCATTATGCTTTTGTGTTGGACACAAAAGTAGAGCACAAACCGTTAGTTTAAGCAGTTGCTTGTTGGTTTAAGCAATAACTACGAAGCAGATATTGTGACCATTAATGG